AATGGAAATATGAGTTTTAACTGAACTGTAGGTGCAGGGGTGGGGAGGGAAATACACAAGAGCTCACTTTAAGGAGATCGGTTTTCCCATTTCCGCGGGGATATGCGCAAATAATGACCAAAAAAATATATAGTGACGAGGCGCGTGCTAAAACATTTAACTAACCTACTTACAGTTTTCAACTACAAGCTGTACACTATTAAGCGCGCTTGGTTTAACAATGGTAATGACTGGAACACTAACACAAATCAACAGGATTGTTGTCACTGATGTCGTCTACCCATCATTATCACCTGTACTTACAAAACTGAACCCAAGAGCGCAAAATCTTCGCTAGCAACAGGTTCGAACATGTTTTGGACACAAATTAAAGACTTGTCCCATATGTCTACTAAATAAATCCATTTTTCTTCGCGATGAGGTCGCGCTTAAATAACAAATTTGAAATCACAAAAAGTGGTTGACTACTAGCCTTGAAACATTTATGTCTGCCGAAACGACAGACTGAATTTCGTTTGGCAATCACAATCAATATTATTAAATATTGCAACGTATTAAGCCACATGTTTCCTTGCTACCTTGAAACCACGTTTCAGTTCTCTTAACAATATCATGACAACCCTCGCACGTTGCCGCTAGCATAGTTAATAGAGGGAAATGGTAAAGAAGCCCGGTAAACATCAAAGAAGTAAGAAAACAGGCTAAGATTCATGTTGGAAGGTCCTTGACCCTGCACATCTTTTGTTTCATGTTCACTGACTGCATAATCGCAATGCTTCTATTGGTTAGTTGTATGAACCCACATACCCGCCTTTCGTATTTTGCTACGTTTTCTGCAGAAAAAAAAAACGTAAAATAACGAACAAAAACATACAACAAAGAACTTTGCCAGGTTTCATAACCATTTCCCTCTATTAACTATGCCGTAAGCGACAAGTTTCTTTAGGCTAAATTTAATACAGTCCCTAAGGGGAACAAGTACGAGTTGATGGTTAATTCCGGTCTCCGAGACCGGACTAAACCAGCAGTTTTCGTCCAGTAGTTGCTAAGCAACTGATTGCGCCATAACGGTGTGACAACTGTCGGGGTACTTGAGCGTTCGTGCTATTCTCTGATTGGATAACACAAATCGGACACTTGACGAGCGCTTTAACGATGATTTGCCAAAATGGACACTTGTTTCCTCAGGCGAACATGAAGAAGGATTCTCTAGATCATCAAATGAAAAACTGGTACAGTCCGACAGGTTTTCCACGAAAAGCTTCTAGTTTCCGCGCTATCAGCTCATAAAATTAACATTTGGATCCAGTTTGAGGAAGTGCAGAGCACAACGAGCCATGTCATCGAGATAATAACCGATCAGTCCCCAACTCTTTAAAACAAACCGCAAAGAAATTACCTATGAAAAGAAATTGTCTCTGTGTATGTTCCACATACATGTTACAGAAAGCCACAGTAGTGCTCATGGAGAGTAGCTCCCTAAAGAGTATTATTTGTGAAGTACCACCCTACAGCTTATGCTGTAGTGATATCGACTGCTTCAGGAGCAAGATGGCTCTCCTCGAGAGGTTGAGAAGAGGTCACAGGCACACCAATAATTCTCATCGTGGCGAGACGTGCTCTGCGGTAAACGAGTAGCATGTTCAATCCAAGAAGTCTGAAATGAACAAAATGTCAGTGACTTTAGCAATGAACGAATAACCAAAATGACTGAGTGACAGACAGACTGACAGACTGACCTGACGGACTAAAGAACTGACTGGCGGACAGACAGACAGAGGACTTTCTGTCTGTCTGTCTGTCTGTCTGTCTGACTGACTGACTGACTGACTGACTGTATCAACCAAACAACTGACCTTCTCTGTTCATGACTAACCAGTTAACTTATGAGGTCCCACTCACCTAAGACACACGTATTCCAGCACAACAGCAAGTCCTATGACCAGAATCTTACAAGCAGGAGGTATGCTGGATAAGCAAACCATGTAAACACCGATTGGCGCTCCAATCATCATGGACAGGATTACAGTCGTCTGAACCCAATGTCTACAATCAACAACACGAATACTGCAAGGTCAAAGCACTTGGCTTTGTCTGAGCGGAGGTTAAAAAGATCGCCGGGGACCCGAGAAGTAGAGAGCTAATGTCATGATGGCCTTATGTCCCAGCCGGGACGATAGGGATAAGTGAGTGAGTTATTGGTTAGTTATAGTAGCTGAAAGCAACTTGCAGAAATCAGTTACACGAAATCACGACGGTGATACAGGTCTTGAACAACGAAAAATGTCACATCTTACCGTACAGTCAGACCACTTGGTAACCACGCCCTTCCCGTTGCCAGTTTGTACTGTCAGAGATTCAAATAGATCACGTTACTTACATAGGCAAGAGCAGA